ATATTAATTAATTTTATAGAGAGTACTTGGATAATTATAATGGTGGTAAAATTAATGAAACTATTTTCTACTTATGAAGAAGATGTATTGTCACTAGCAAGTACTTTGGGATTGTATCGCCAGATACATGATGATTATTGCAATTTACGTCATGATGAGGTGGTAATCGATAATGTAATTAAATTACCAAATTTATGAACCAAATTTAACAAAACTTATTGTTATTATAGGATACTAATGAGAACAGTTATTGCGATGATTTGACCGAAGGAAAAATGAGTTTCCTAATTATTCATGCGCTTAGAAACAATCCTGACGATAAGAAAATAATAAGTATCCTTCATCAAACATTATATTTAATATGATATAAGTAGATATTAAAGAATATATTTCGTATTAAATAGACAATAAAAAAATTAATAATTTAAAAATTAATATTAATAATTTAATAAATTAAAAATTAATATTTTGAAAATTTTTATAACAAAATTTTTAGATAATGTTAAAATTCTTAACAATAATTCAAGATATTTTAAAACAACGATCGAAGAATATTGAAGTAAAACGTTACTGCGTTAAAATATTAGAAAGTTACGGCTCATTTAAGTACGCAAAAGATGTACTTGATGAATTAGAAGAAAAGATGAGAACCGAAATTGACCGTTTAGGTGGCAATCCGCCTTTTGTAAAGCTTCTGGACGACTTCAGGAACAAGATGTTGAAAACACATATCTAAAGATTCTTTAATCAAATGATAAAATTCATAAATATGTATTTTGTTATTAATAAAACATCAGACGCAGCATTGTATAATTTGTCCATACGTATATTATAAAACGTTATATAAAATAATCTCTTATTAATAGCTATAAACAACAAAATGTAATAAAAATTAATGTCTGTAATTAATAAATGTAATAAAGATAAGTAAATTTTACTTAAAAAAAAATTTTATTTAATACTTTGATGAAAAAAATCATTTACAAAGCGCTATAGTAATAAATCATATGCACCGAAAAAAAATATTCTGCCGATTAACGGGAAATGTAATTTTGAATCTAAAATTGATTAATGAATTACATTTCGACGACGAATGTAATCGATAAGTTTTTAAATTTAAATATTACTAATAATATTACTAATAATTACTAATAATATTATCATAAAAAGTGTAAATAAAATGCCTTAACGGTATCCTCTTCTCCTCTAACAGTATATACAATCATATTTTAATTTAGTAATATGCAATCCCATATCCGTTGAAAACCCTATTTAACAGGGTTGTGCTGTAGATTTTAAGATTGCGTCTACACGGATTATTTACGTGAAATCTACGTGATGTTTGCATAATTTTTTCATGTAAACAATATAGATTATGTGGACTATGTTGTGAAATGCATCGCTAACATGTTTTATACAGTATAAAAGAATTAAAATTAAATTATAAAATAGGCTTTATACCCACAGAGTAGAATTGTTCGAAATACGTTTAGCAATTAAGTTATAAAAATATATTTCGATATCTTTAGAATATTCCTGTGATACATTTTGAATATTTTAGTTATGTGAGCACGCTCATATATTCCCATTTTAAATATAAATTGTATAAGCATTACGTAAGTAAAATTATGTAAGTATTTATTAAATCCATAAATTATATGTACTCAACTTTTTTAGGGAACGTTTATAAATTATCAAAATTCTAAAGATTAAATTGAGAAAGATATTAAAACTTTTATTTTTGCTTTTGTTGCTGCAATATGCACAATGTGCATAATATTTATTGTATCTTTTCAATAAAGTAAAATCCAGTTCATTAAATCCATTATTTATTTTTCGTTGCATGTTCGAGGCAACGAGTTATATTTTAAAATATAGTTTATAAATTTTGAGGTAATAATACAAACGTCGAGCTTTAAAATTTGACTTCTACAAATATTATTATACATGAAGAACTTACGACTTATGACTTCAATATACATTTCAAATTTATTCAATACACCGCTCGATGAAAGCATCTTTTGAACAACAGCTAGTTAACATTTTTCCGTAAAAGCTAAATAGCAAAAATATTGCCTCGGCCGGGAGTCCAACTCGGATCTCTTGCATTCCGTGCAATATTTTTCGCAATAAGTTTATTACAGTTTTTTAAGATTAATTTGAGAAATGGGGGATTATTAATATTTCAGATTGATTGCGTTGAAAGCCTACAATCATATCGGCACGTAATTATTATTTCTGAAATTAATTCATTTATTTGAATATATATATATATATATATATTAGTTCAATATCTCAACACTCAGACCGTAGTGGCGCTCCGAATTTTAAAGTAATGTATATTTTATATTCAAATATATATAACGTTATATATAAAATATGTCCATATATATTTTTTCTGAGTTATTACAAAAAAAAGAAATATATTTTGATAGACGTGAATTTCCGCCGATTTGTGGTGTGTGATGTGCCCTGTGCGCCAAATTGGGTAATTATCTATATATAAGATTGCATAGATCACACCTTTCAAACAACACAAACTCTAAAATTATGATATAAGACGTTTTTAAGTCATCTTTTAGAAGCCAAAAATGTCTTATATACTTCTTGTTATCCGAGCTTACTAATTTGCATTGTCTACATGTAAATATAGAATATCGTAATTTATGCATAAATGCACAATTCTGATATTCAACACTTTTTTTATTCTTGGTGAATTTTTTATTTACTCGCACGTGCATATATTTTGTATGCATGTATGAATAAATAAAGAAAATTTTTATTCATTAAAAAAAGACCAATAATATTGATTATAAATATTGATTATCTGCCAATCAAATTTAGTCATTAAATTTAATTTTTTACCTGTTATTTACATCGTAACGACGAGATAGCCAATACAAGACCATAGATTTAAGCGAGAAGAACATGTGAAACGCATAATGCATAAGAAAATGAAAGTTTTTTATTTCCTTTCTTTCCATACAATAGAGGACGATAATTGATTAGTTGAGTTTTGTTATCGCGTTTCGATTTACTTACGCGTTATGCCTTATACACTATATAAGAGTGTACTCTTGGTTTTAGTATATATTACTTATTCTATTGCTGCTAGTACATCAGAGAAGAAATCTGTAAGAGTTGCTGCAATTTTTTTTTTTAAATATTTTCCTTGCTACACGACGTTCCACCTCTCTAACTTCTAAAACACTCTCTTATTACAATTATATATAAAAAGAATAGTGTCTATATGAAAGGGTTGGATTCCACACAGTAGCCTCGAGCTTCTTACAGTACGATTCTTTCGACACACAGATAAGTACGCAAATATTTTTTTTCATAAGAACACAGCTAAATTGTAATGTTAAATGTTTTTTTTTCGAATTTGCTCCACATCTACATACGCTACAAATACTAAGAATTATGAATACTTATGTTTATTCAATACAATACAGTCCTAGGCCGGTATTCATAGTCGATTTCAATTCGCTTTTTTGTACTTATTTTTTTATCTTTGTATGATTTTTTTTTTCATCGAATTATTCAATGTTGAAGCAAGGGTCGTTTTTGCTTCAATGTTGAAGAACTGGCTTGTATCTAACGCTGATTGGTTACGCCATTAGGTGTACTTACTGTTAGTTAGAAGAAGACAGCGAGAAAGAACAGATTAAAACGAGGAATTGCACCATATAGATATTCCAGATGCAGGAATACCAAATGATGATTTCAGGTTAATTAGCATCATTCTTTTTATCCCTACTCTAACCATCTCGTTCTCCATTTTTTTCTATTCGCTCACGCATTCTTAATTGGCTCCGCTACTATATATACAACCTCTTTGACGATTAGTCGACAATCAGATTTGATTAAAAGTCAACTCTTGACTTCTGCAGTTAACTTATAGTCGACTTTTTGTCGACTTCGTGTTGTCTGGGATCCCACTTTTTCTCGTACTTCACGCATTGGTATGTAATTCGAATATTACTCAATATTATAAGGCAAAAAATTAAATACTGTTACCAATTTATTTATCATTTGGTTTAAATTTATCAAAATTATAGTTTCCTACGTATCACAATAATTTAGAGTGCAATATGTCAGACATGAAAAAGGATGTACCTTTCTACTATTCGTCAAGCGGTAATACGAAGGAGGACAAGGTCAGTTCTATAACGACTTCTCTTTTATTTTTTCACATCTCTTTTATTTCATAATTCAATTTTACTAACTTTTCGTTTTCATTACTTGTTTTAATTGATTTCTGTTGTATAGATACTTTTAGAACCGATCGAATACAGTCGGCAATGCAATGATATACATCCATATAGAAAAATACCGTGGATTTTTAACTACTGGTTTAAAGTATCACCCGATAAATTGCAATTGATTGACGAAGTAATCCAAATGGCCTATGCTACATGCGTCAAAAAAAAAGTTATTTTTTGTAGTAAAACATAATTGAAACTTAAATACATGACTGAAACTTATATATTTTTTTCTAAAATCATATGCGCGCGATAAGAAATAAGATATAATGTTTCTAAAGAAAAATTACATTTTCTTCTACAATGTATATATTAGGAAAATTTTTCTCTTTTTGTATCTAATATACCGTTCTCTCGCAAGGAAAGTGACAAGAGTCATTTTAATTCAATACAAAATTTCAGTTCAATATAAAATTATTCAGATAAGTGAGAGGGGGAGGGGGGCGATAAAAAGAACATTGAGTATTTTATAAAATTTATTATTTAGTACGCGTTGGAAGAATTATATATAAGTTAACTTATTAGAACTAATCACAAATTTGTTCAAAATTTTCTAGAAGTAATGTGGATAATAATTTTGATACAGTGTTATATGTTACCTTTCATGTTATTTTTAATATTTTCCCTTGTATTATTTTTCTTTAGGAAGTATTTAACATATATCAGTTTTCCTGAAAGTGCATTTAGAATATGATTTTCGCGTAGTACAAACTTTAAAAAATTTATGTCATTCTTCTTGCGGGGATATAACATGTTTTAACAATGATTTATATAAAAAATTTAAAAAATTTTTTGGATAAGTCTTGATCTTCCACTTCAATTATTATTTTGCTGCTATAATCTGTTATATTTCTGGCTTCACCTTTTTTTATTATACTTATTTTTTACATAAATGATACAAAAAAAAGATAATACAGCCTCTCTACTGACTGAAAAGGTTAATTTTAATATATTTTTTTAAATTTATAAAGTTTTTGTTTCTTGATAGGTTCGATGATATTCAAGATGAGGCCATTATGCGAAATGGTTTTCCTGTAACCAATTCTGTTTATGGACTTCACTACTCAATAAATGCTGCAAATTATTTGCAATTTATTGCTTGTGAAAAATTTTTTAATTTACACCCCATGGTAATAAGTAGTTGCATTTTGTCTGTGTAAAACTTTGAAAAATTGAATGCGTTTTATTCTCTTGATATTTTATAACAGTAATCAAAATAGACAGTTTTATCAAAATTCCTTTTTAGATATCTCTGCATGCATAGAAAAGATACAAATTCATTGAATTGATTCCAGTCTTTATTCGTTTCTTATCTATTGAATATGATTAAAACTTAATCCTGAATGTCAAGTCTATTTTAATGTTGTTAATGCTTTTTTTGTATAAATCATAAAATAAATTATTAAAATATAAATCTCATTATAAAATTGCACTTTTTACCATGCCGACTGATAATGCTTCTTTATAATTTTGATTATATTTTTATTATATATTTTTTATTTTAATTACATATTTTTATATCTTAATAGGCAGTTAAAATTGTTATTGAACAATTTATGGAATACTACAAAGGTCAAGGAATGGATTTATATTGGAAGGAAAAATTCATCTGTCCGAAAGAAGAAGATTACAATATTTTAGCAGTAAGAAGTAAATATTTTTGCCTTTATAAACTTCTACTGTATACAAAACGTATTACATATATATGTACAATTTCAATATTAATTAATTTTATAGAGAGTGGTTGGTTAAATATAATGGTGGTAAAATTAATGAAACTATTTTCTACTTATGAAGAAGATGTCTTGTCATTAGCAAGTACTTTTGGATTGTATCGCCAGATACATGATGATTATTGCAATTTACGTCATGATGAGGTAATAATTGATAATTTAACTAAATTACTTGAACCAAATTTAACAAAACTTATTGTTATTATAGGATACTAACGAGAACAGTTATTGCGATGATTTGACCGAAGGAAAAATGAGTTTCCTAGTTATTCATGCGCTTAGAAAGAATCCTGACGATAAGAAAATAATAAGTATCCTTTATCAAACATTATATTTAATGTGAAATAAGTAGATACTAAGGAATATATTTCGTATTGAGCAGATAAAATAAAAAAAGACAATAAAAAAATTAAATGATAAGCTTATCATATTTTAAAAATTTTTATAACAAAATTTTTAGATAATGTTAAAATTCTTAACAATAATTCAAGATATTTTAAAACAACGATCGAAGAATATTGAAATAAAACGTTACTGCGTTAAAATATTAGAAAGTTACGGCTCATTTAAGTACGCAAAAGATGTACTTGATGAATTAGAAGAAAAGATGAGAACCGAAATTGACCGTTTAGGTGGCAATCCGCCTTTTGTAAAGCTTCTGGACGACTTCAGGAACAAGATGTTGAAAACACATATCTAAAGATTCTTTAATCAAATGATAAAATTCATAAATATGTATTTTGTTATTAATAAAACATCAGACGCAGCATTGTATAATTTGTCCATACGTATATTATAAAACGTTATATAAAATAATCTCTTATTAATAGCTATAAACAACAAGATGTAATAAAAATTAATATCTGTATACAAATAAAGATAAATAAAGTTTATTTAAACTTTGCTGAAAAAATTATTTTTATTATGCTATAGCAATAAATCATATGCACCCATAAAAATATTCTACCGTTAAGCGGGAAATATCTCTTAGCATTTCTTTTAAGTAAAAACGTTTACATGAATCTCACACAATCGCTATTTTTCCTAAAGAATAAATTTTTATTCATATGCACATAAAAATTTTGCATACAAATAATGTTCTTTGTTCTTATTTTTTATCATTAAGTTGTTATCATTCAAATCTGGATTATTCTACTATTATATGCTGCAAATTTCTCTTTTATCCACTGTCTTTTTATTATTCGTACTTTAATGACAATATATAGCTTGTCATTGTAAATTAAATAGATTGGCAGCAGTGCTACTGAAGTATTATAAAAAAAAGTATTCCGTGACGGAATATTTTAAATTTCAGATTGTATATATTTTTCTCATTATATAAGATTATAATATTATACATATTTATACATATTATACATATTATACATATAATATTACACTTATATATATTATATATATATATATGTATATATATATATATATAATATTTATAATATTATATCTTTTCTCTGATATAATTAATTTTTGGCTCTATTATTGAAATAAACAATTTGAAAAATTGCTCAACGCTGAAATCGCATTTAGAGTTTCTACTTTTTAAAATATATCATAACAAAATAATTGGCTAAATCTGGTGTAAATCTGAAATATTTATTTTTTGTTAAGATACAATAAATTTATAAATTGTCTGTAATTAATTTTCTCTTTATACTTTAACTTTTTTGTCAATGCATAGTTTTCATCTTTTCATTACCTTGTGTTACGAAATTCCTATTAAAAATATAAAAAAAGCAATAAAATATAGAAGTTAGTATTCATAGTTGGTTTTTATTTTAAAATCGTCTTAAGTGTTTTAAGATGCTAATACAGTTCTGTGATGTGGTGACTTGTTTATGACATTTTAAGATTAATTTTTAAAAGAATCTTATACAAGGTGCGTCCCAAAATTTTCCCAACTTTTGAAATAAAACAACAACGGTTTACTTTTTTTTTCAAATTCAAATTGTTTATTCAAAGTAGTCCCCGTCGGACTCAATACAACGTTTGGCACGATCTAAAAGCATTTCAAATGAGTGTTTTATGTCGTTCAAAGGCACGTCCTTCAGAACAGTGGTACAAGCCCTTTGGATGTCTTCTACGTCCACATACCGCTTTCCTTTCATGGACAAATGCATTTTGCCGAATAGGTAGAAGTCACAAGGTGCCATATCAGGCGAATACGGGGAATGGTTGATTGTTAAAATGTGATTTTTAGTCAAAAAATCAGTGACAAGTGTCGAACGGTGAGATGGCGCATTATCATGTAACAAGCGCCAACTTCCTCCTTCGCGATATTCTGGCCGAATACGACGAATGCGGTGCACCAAACGCTTCAAAACGCTTACATAGAATACAGCATTAACTGTTTGGCCTGCTGGAACGAATTCTTTGTGCACAATACCCTTGGAATCATAAAAACTTCGATGGAATTTTCGTTAATTGTCGATTTTGGGCGACCTGTATGTGCGTCGTCATTTATGTCCTCACGACCGTTCTTGAATCGCGTATACCACTCATAAACACTGGCACGGGCTACACAATTATCACCATAAACTTGTTTCATCAAATTATGGGTTTCGGTAAATGTTTTACCAAGTTTAAAACAAAACTTAATATTGGCTCTTTGTTCGAAGTTCATTCTCGTACCGATGTATACAACATACTGACACTTGAGACGCCATAACTTCGTTTCCACTGAACCAAATGTCATGAAATTTTTACTGGAAGTCAGCTAGGGATGTACCTTTCAAACGCGCAATCGAACACACGGATGGCGCCACCCGACCTATCCCTATTGAAAAAGTTTGGAAAATTTTGGGACGCACCTTGTACATATAAGAATTTTTTTATATAAAAATCAACAACAAATACCGATTAAAATCTGTTCTGTTATTAGAAAAGTATAGGATTTTTAAAATGTCATACCTATAACTAGTTAAGCACACTATTCGTTTTTGTTTCTTTTTATCGTAATTTCTTATGGTAGTATTAAATACATATATATAATAAAATTTGCAAAATCCCTGTTTTTTGATGTAAACAACAAAATTTTATTTCTCATCATGACTTTTCTATTGAAATAAATTCTACGTAGAACATTTTTAAAAAGTATTTATTAGCAATTGTATATATGAATATTGACAGTTTAATATAGCATATCGAATGATTTTATAATGAAATACAGCTGTTTTGTACGTCATGCAGTTATATATTATATAATATCTATTGTTTCCTAAAAGACATAACGTATAGAAAATTATATGTAACTAACAAGTTTCTATCTAAGAAAAATATTCACTCCTCCACATTCATTCTTTCACGCAAAGCGATGCGACCTCGCATAGTTTTTTTCTTTCGCAAATTTGTAAATCAATAAATTAAAATTCCTATCTCTCCCCCCCCCTCTCTCTCTCTCTCTCTCTTATCTCTCTCTGAATTTCCCATGATGATTTCTTTGAAATCTCCCCCCTCAATTTATAATTTTAGAAGGCATTATTTCGGCCTCGCGCACTTCTCGCGTTCATGTTTGCCGTAAGCTGAATCGGGTGCTCAATTGATCTCTCTTATGATACATGACGATATCAAGTCGAAATCCATCAAGGACTAAGACAATGTGGCGATTTGACACATCCTCTGTTCAGGCTCGCTATCCTCATCGGATTCACTAGCCCAGGAGGATCGTCGTTCGTGTCATATCTCGCCGTCGCTGTCCCCGGGACAGCGTCCTGGTCCTGACACGCCGTCATCAAGAACCTCCGTCACCTCGTAAAACAGACAATGATGGATAGAGGATAATCGAAAAAAGTGTGTGTGTGTGCTTTTGTATGTGTGAGTATATTATATCAATATTTCATGAAAAAGAGAACCAAGAGGAAATTAATTCGCAAGCTTCTTACAGGATTTTTCGATTGTCGATCTTGGGAACACTCACCAGAACTTCCTCGAAACGATCGTAATTCTCCTGTCTGGAATTCAAGAGGCTCTCACCTACCGAGTCGGTACCAATGTTCGATTGACAAGGATCTCGTCGTTCTAGCGCGCTCGATGCAATATGCAGTAAGGACAGTATCGCCAACAGACCGGCTGCAAACACATTTTATCTGTCAGAGGTTCTACGGAAATAAACTCTGTCGTACTTACCCGCAACGTAGGATAGCCAAAGTTTATTGGGTCGCCACGCTAAGATGCAGGACAACGGTAGATAAAACAACGCTCTTCGCCAGCCCCGCGTAGCCGCTAGGATGCTAAACCAGCAACGCGAACAAAGAGAATCCTCGTTTCTGCGAAAAATAAACCTACGTCAAAACGTATACCGTCTTTTTTCATAAAAAGAGGAGGATTTCTAAGTTTGCAAGATTAAAAGGATTATTTTCTATAACGTTTTAAAGAATATATGCAAATTGAATAATTTGATATCTAAAATTTTTTATTTCTAAATTAAATTAAATGGTAAATAAGCTTTTTAAACAAATCAAAATTATTTCTAAATTAATTAAAATCGGACTCTCAATCTTTAAAATAATAAATAACAGTAAAATTAATGAGAGTCAGCGCGGAAGTGGGTGAATACAAATATTAATTCACATAAATTAATCTATTATAATACATAATGTCAATTACGAATTCTTGTTGAACGTTTCAATTCTCTTTGGAGTCCTCTTCAACAAAGTTACAAGTATTCTCAGAAAGTTGAAACGTTCAACAAGAATTTGTAATAAAGTTAACATCATGTAATATAATGGACTAATTTATATGAATTAATATTTGTGCTCACCCACTTCTGCGCTGACTCTCATTAATTTTATTTTAATTTTACTGTTATTTATTATTCAAAATTATTTCATTATTGTGAAATTTTATTTTAATTGGATCTAATTGCATGCTGAAAATCAAATCAATTTGAGAGATTAAACAAGATGTTTTTCGGATATTCAATACACTCATAAGTGTATTTGCAAATGTTTATAAAAGTTACACAGTTATTACAATATTTATATGCTATCTGATGTTCGTAAAACTAGAAGATTTGCCCAATTTGCTTTCAATAAACAGAACTCTTGAAAACGACATTTTTCGCTGAATTCGCAAGCAATCAACGTTTCTATTCCTGATTACGGCTCCGTCATTTCCCACTTAAGTCTCCGTCTTAAAACGGAGTAGTAAGACGACTTTTCTATCGATACAACTTTCAGCGTCGAATACTCTCGTTGAGTACACTTTTTATGAGATTAACAAGTTTAATCCCATGTACACAAAAGAAATCTCGCGTTAAAATAAAACCTCAATTTGTATGGTATTCTACAAAAATGCAACAATCAGCTTTACGTTATAATCTTTGTATATTTTCTTGGCTCATGTAATACATGAATGAAAATATTTGTCTAATTGAAATATGTTACGCTAACGCTCGCGGTGGCAATTGCGTTCGCAGCGTAATTTAGCGGAAATCGTATCTGCGGTAACTGTATCGAGAAGAAAATTGCCGGGAAGCGATTTGCCCGGGTCCGAGATTATCGGCAAAATTTCCGCGGAGATATAATTATCGCGCGCGTTCCGGAGCTATTATTAATTTACGAAATTAGCCATCGTGATAGATTTAAAACTCGTCAGCTTGCAATAAAAAAAGAAAATCGATTTTGCGCAGCATGCGAATCTTAATGCGAGAACAAATCTTCCTGGTATCTTTAAAAAGAATCGAGAGAAAATCGACAAGATCAATTGAGAGAAACATTCATCTTTCTCAGTATTCCTTTAACAATTAACTGTAATATTTTTAATTGGATTATCCGCATTGAAAGAGACAGAAAAAGAAAAAGTGATCTGACGGGCTTTCAT